CGGGGATGCGGAAGAAAACACTCCGGGGATACGCCACAAGCAAGTGTTCGGAAACTGGAGCATATACATTACCAGTGGCGGGCGGTTTTTCAATCCCAGGACTTTTGAGGGTCGGGGACGACGTCAGGGTGGTGTGGTGTATATATTTCCCCCGTTTTCCTGGGGACACAACGAATAATGTATACACCAGGATCCCGTATACACCAGGATCAGCTTTCCTGTGCAAGATTCAGTGTGACGCCAGACACAGGCGTCGGTGCATAGAGTTCGGTTCTCTAAGTGTATGTGTGTATATATATATATATATATATGTATGTGTGTGCGCGCGTTCCTGGTCGCTCGCGCATTTGCTGCTTTACCACCTTCTCCGCCCTGTCGCCGCGCGCAGGGACGCTTGGCCCAAACAAGTTTGCGTGTGTCTGTGTATGTAAGCGTGCGTGTGTGTGTTTACAGTATGTGTGCGTGTGTGTGTGTGTGTGTGCGTGTGTGCGTGCGTGCGTTTGTGTGTATGTGTATGTCTGTGCGTATGTGTATATGTGTGTGCGTGTGTGTGTGTGTGTGTGTGTGTGTGTGTGTGTGTGCGAGCGTGCGTGCGTGCGTGCGTGCGTGCGTGTGTTTTGCCGCAGCCCCGCCTGTTTTGTCCTGCAATTCCAGCGTGTTGATTCCGCATCCCCACGATTATGTTCCGCATCCCCGGGTCCAGCGTGTATGTTTTTGTTTTCTCTGATCGCCGGCGGGCCCTCGCACGGCCGAGGAGGTCGCAGGCGCCCCCCCCCCCCCCCCCCGCGCAGGCGTTCGAGCGGGTGTTGCCTCGTTTGAAACAGCTGTTCAAAAAGGTTTCGGGTGCGGAACATGTCAGAGGATACGGTTTCTTCAGATGTGTATTTGCGTGGGCAGTGAACCCGCATAGCAAGGATGAGCAGCTTCCCAAGGTTTGCCTTGCATCCCCTCCCTTCGGCCAATCTCTGGCCATTTTCGCTTGACGCGCCCGGCTCGCAAAGTGTCGGCATGGCCTTCCAATGCTTTGGTATCCTTATTGTGCGTCCTTAGTGTACGGGGTGACTGCATACAGATGTGTATCTGTGTATAGTCCAGCAACCAGAATCCCCTGGCAGGGTATACAGTCAACCCGTATAAATAGGACGCACGGTTAGGATGCATGTTTTTGGAAGGCCATGTTGATGTTTTTCCAGTTGGGCTGGCCAGCGAAAGTTGTCAAGGATGGTCCGGAGGGGAAGGACGCAACGGTAATTTTGGAAAGTTGCTCACTCTTAGAGGCTGGAACGAAACATGACCTGGTGTAGGTCGAGGCTGGTCGAGATCATAGGTCGAGGGCAGTGGGCGGGAGATGGCCGGATGTTCACATAGGTCGAGGCCAGTGGGCGGGAGATGGCCGGATGTTCACCGAGCGCGCTCCACTTCGGGCGGTTGGTGCAAGCAATGGGGGGTGACCTATCTGGGGGCTGAAGAAAGGGCCATGGGCCCTTTGGGGCTCCGTTTGGGCCCCTGCTGCCTCCAAAAGGGGCCCTCAGGGGCCCGGGATAAACGCACAGACACACACACACACACGAGTGTCGATGCCGAAGAAACAATATAGGGAGTAGGGGGAATGGGAGGGGAAGACTAACATCCAGAAGACATGAGGAAACGATTGGGCCACTGCCCTACTTGGCAGGGGGTGTCGCAATTATGTCATCTCCGTGCCTCGATGTAGTGGAGCTTCCATCCCCCGCGGCGGATCCAGGCCATTTGCGCGCAGTTTCCCTGAGAGTAGTGGGACGCGCTCGTCTAGACGTAAAGCGGTGAGGCATCGGAACGCCGCGACCGCTCGTTTGTTTTGGCGACTGCGGTGTCTAGAGACCAGTGCCGTCGTCGTGACGACACGAAGCTGCCGCATGGGCACTGCGTTGTTTCAGGCCACGTGTGTTTGAATGGTAGGTTGTCACCCTCGTCGGGGGAAAGTGGAGCCAATGCCCTCGGAGCACGTGGACAACATTGAGCACAGAGCGAGTACGCAAGGCTGTTTGAAACGACGGTCCACAATAATGCCATTATCCAGGCGATCAAGCGCGATGTATAGAAACAGAGGGCCATCTCGGACAGAGAGAGTTCGATTGGGATAGTGTCCTCGAGATTCTGCACAAGTGCCTTTCACACCGAGTCCTTGCGCTTCCTCCTGCTTCCCTCCGTAGGCCGTCTCGGATCGTCTCCAGGCATCGTGAAGGGTGCTCCCACTGTGACAGTGCAGGTTTAAGACTGCTGGAGCCTGGATCACCTCGAGGAGGATGACCCCATCGGTCGTGTCACCGTCAATCAGTGGGCATCGAACGCACATGCGCCCGTGGATTCTCTTGGCCCTCCCAGCGGCCTCTCAGGGTTCCATTGGTGCCTATAGCACCTGTAGACTTTACAGCGGCTCCAGATCTTACATGGACTCTGGACTCCAACTGACTTCAAAGGGGCCATGTGACCTCCAGGGGCGTTCCAGAGCACCAGGGAGGATGAAGAGGAGGAGGAGGAGGAGGAGGACGCGGACGAGGGGGAGGAAGAGAAAGAAGAAGAGGAAGAGGAGGAGGCCAGGCGAGCGCGCAATGTCGGTCTGGCGGGGCCGGCCCTGCGAAGGCGGCGCGGGGGGGGCGGGGCCCTCAGGAGATGCGTTGTGAGCAGGAGCAGGAGTCGTGTGAACTACACCTCAGGCGATGCTTAAGAAAACTTAAGTTTTCGGCCAGAGTCTCGATCATTCTTAACGTTTCAATGTAAATCTTAAGATTTTAATGGAAACGTTGGGTTTTTCTTCAAGTTCTGAGACTTTGAATTTCTTAACCCATGATTTCTTAAGCATTTCGCAGGGTGTACAGGGGCGTTCCGGAGCACTGGCAGAGCTGTCCCAGCAGGGGGAGGCGCAGTGGGGCTGTCCTCTCGCACCACTTGTGCCGCCCTCGCGCGGCGAACCGTTGTCGGCGTCACTGCTGACGTCGCCGTCGTCGTCGTCGTCGTCGTCCTCCTCCTCCTCGTCGGTCGTCGTTGTCGTCGTCGTCCCTCCACCCCGCCGTCACGGCTTTCTTGGAGCTCCAAGGTGTCTGCCGAAAGTCTTGCGCAGGCCTATTACCCAAAGAGCAGCGGTCCAGAATGTGATGCATCTACGCTGCCATGCTTCAAGTGACGCCGCGTCGTTTGTTCCGACGCGCGGCTTCGCGTGTTGGGGAGGGTGCCGCGGCCACCAGGGAAAACCCAGCCTCGGACGCGGTGGGTTTGCCGTGGGGTTTGCCGTGGTGCCGGCCTCGTCAACCTGGGGCGCGGGACGCAGGGTTTGGGGTGGGATTGCCGTGGTGTTGGCGTCGTCCATTTGGGTGCGTCTAGGACGAACGGCGCGGCGACAAGTGCTAGCGGTCTCTGAAGAGAACGTCCGTAGAGCCAGTTGACCTCCAGCCCACATTTTTTAAAAATTCGTAGACCCCCAAACATGTTACGGCCCGCTTTCACCCCCCAGCTGGGGCCGACCAGCGCCCCACATATTCCGGGGGCTGCCAAAGAATCCTACGGACGCCTCTGAAAAGGCGGCGGCGAAGCGGGACGTCCCACGAGTTTTGCCCACTTGCACCACCCGCTCGCGGCGACAGGGCTGCCACAGGGCTTCCACTTTCAGACCTCCACCTCCGCTGCGATGCCGAAGACGCCCTCATGCTCCCCCGAGTGGGCCGTTGGATTTGGTCGCCGAGGAGGTGCCTCGTCGTCGCGACTGGTTTCGGCCCCAAACGCTGGTCCAGGGGGGCCGGCCCGCAGAGACACTGCCCGCGCTGAATTTCTGGCAGCGCACAGTCAACGCGCCTCGTAAGGACGCGCGCCTTCGTCTTGTGTACCCTTGCGTCCTTGTCTCTACTGCCCGTCCTCTGCCGTTTTCACTGGTCGCCCTTTGCGTTCTTGCTGCCCGTCCGTGAGCCCCTGGGCCCCGCATTCCACCGCCGACCCGAGGGTCGAAGGCAGAGGCCCAGGGAAGTCTCTGCGAACCAGACAAAGGTCCGCCCGGGCCCCGCCAGATGCCGCGGCGGCGGCGGCGGGCCCTGCTGGGCGGCGGCCTCCAGGGGTCGGCTGCACTTCGGAGTGACCTTTCGCCAGAGTGGCCTCTGGTTCCCAGCACGCTGGGGTCCCCAGAGGACTGAGGGCGATGCGAAAGCCGCGTCCTGCGCTCTCGGGTCCGGCCTTCCAGCGGCCCCCGAGAGTCGCGCACCAGAGGCCACTCAGTGCGTGGGGCCACTTCCGCACGCAGCCGCGAGTGCTCTGTGTCCCTGACACCCGCCGTGCCTCCTACGCGTTTTGGCTGTCGCCGTCTTGGCCCGGGCTGGCTCCGCGGGGCCGCAGGGGCGCGCCGCCGCTCGCCCGCCGCCGCTCGCGCCCCTGGTATCGCCCGCTCCTTGGCATCGCGCAGGCGTTTTTTTTTTTTTTTTTTTTTTGTTTCTCCTCCGGCGAGGACCATCGAGGAGCTCCAGGCCTCCTGTACGGGGTGTGAGGATCGCGCCGCATCGCCGATGCATCGCCGATGGGTCGACGTCGCCGATGCATCGCCGACGTCGCCGATGCATCGCCGGTGCATCACCGATGCATCACCGATGCATCGCCGATGCATCGCCGATGTATCGGCGATGCGGCGCGATCCTCCGACCCCGTCTACTCCGACCCCATCTGCGATTCCTCTGGTATTTTTTTTGCTCCTCAGCATCGCTCGGGCGTGTTTTTTTTTTTCTTCTCCTCGGCGAGGACCCTCGAGGAGCACCCACGAGACAAGACCCTCGAGGACCCGCGAGGACCCTCGAGGAGGACCCTCGAGGAGGACCCGCGAGGACCCTCGATGAGCACCCTGGATCATCGGGCGACAAGAGCACGCACGAGAGCCAACGACGCACGGGGAACGCACGCCCGACGCCCGACCGCTCTTGGGCTGCGGTGGGCCTCGCCTGGCGGCGCCGCGCTCGCCCCGGTGGCGCGCTCGCCCCTCCCGAGTCATGGCGGGGGTCTTCAGCCCTCCGGCCCGGCTGGGCGCCCGGGAGCGCACGGAGGGCGACGGGCCCAGCGCGCTGGCCAGGTACCTGGACGAGGAGTCGGGGAGCAGCAGCAACCACGACAGAAGCATAAGAACTCCGGAGGTCCGCGCAGAGTTCCCGGATCGGCGCTGGAGCCCCCTGGCGGCGCCTCCTGCGCCGCACCTGGCGCGCTCCGCGCGCCAGGGAGGAGGGTCCAGCGCCGATCCCCGAAGTCCGCGGAGACCTCCGAGTTTTTATGTTTCTGTCATTGCCTGCTCCACCAAGGAGATCGGGAAGGCGGTGGCGAAGTACGACGAGCTCTGGGCGGTAGAGGACCCCGAGGAGAACCCGTACAAGTCGAAGTACCTGGCGCGGGCCCTCTTGGAGGCCGCCGTGCGGGAGGTGGAGCAGCTGCTGCCTGCGGCCGCCGACGACGCCGAGGCAGAGAGGGGGCGAGAGATGCTGGCGCGGCTGTCCCTCTTCCTCGGCAAGAATCTGTACTTCTGCGAGGAGGTGCCAGGCGCGGAGCGCCACTTCACCCGGGCTCTCGAGGGGTACCTGCGCTCGCCCCTGCGCCAGGATCCAGACCGCTTCTGCTACATCCAAGATGCGCTCAACCAGATAGGCATGCTGTGGTGCAATCGGCACGGGTTCAGCGAGGGTTTCAATTACCTCCGGCGGGCTCAGATCATGTTCGTCAACCGTCCGGCCGTCGTGCGAGAGCAGAGGGAGGAGCGCGCGAACGACCACTACACGCTGACGATGTTCTACTTGGCGCAGGCGTACGGCCACCTGCAGAAGCCGGCGCTCTCCGCGCGCTTCTGCGCGGAGACCATGGCCCGGCAGCTGGAGCACAATTCTCCCGAGCGGAGGAGCAAGGAGGCCCTGGAGAGGGACCCTTTTGACTGCAAGGACTGGGTGAGGAACTGCTGCTCGCTCTCCGACTTCTTCGCCAGCGAGTGCATGTTCTGGACCGCCGAGTACCTCCTGCACGCGGCCTGCGTCATGTGCCAGAGGTGCGGGGAGATCTGCGGCCTGGAGCCGGACGGTCTGGCCGAGCTGCACGCGGAGTTCAGGAGGGGAAAACCACACACAGACACAATGAATCGTCAATCCCCCAGAAATGTTTGGAAAATATGGGAAGTGGGGGGGGGAAGACGGCAATCCAGAAAATTATCCCAGTGCGACCCTACCTAGAAGTTGGAGCCCGTAGGAAAGCAGCATTAGTTGCTATGCTATGCTATGCTATGCCATGCTATACTGCGCTATGCTATGCTATGCTATGCTATGCTATGCTGCGCTATGCTATGCAATGCTGGGCTATGCTATGATATGCTGTGCTGAGCTATGCTACGCTACGCTATGCTATGCTGTGCTCTGCTATGCTAAAGCTCAGCGGAGCTAATATCAAGGTAAGCTAAGCTAAGATACACCTGAGCTAAGATGAAGCTAAGCTAAGCTAATATGAAATAAGCTAAGATAAGATGATATAAGCAACGCTAAGCTAAGGAGACGTCACTGGGGGAACCGCGGGGCGGATCCTGGGGGAACCGCCCGGGGCGTGGAACACTGCCCGGCCCTTTGAGCCAACACGGTAAGAACCCTTCTAGGCAGAGCCCAGGTATGGAATGTGGAAACACGTGGGGAATCCTTTTATTTGTGTGTGTACTTCTTTGTATGTGTGTCCCAGGGCCCCTTTAGGAGTGCAGGCGCGACCTGGGCGCCCTCTACAGTCAGCGCCTGAAGTTCTCCAAGACCTGCGCGGAGCACCCGGGGCTCGGCGAGGACGCTTGGCGGGGGGAGCACGCGAAGAGGGCCGCCGAGACCGCGCCCAGCGAGGGCGCCCGCCTGACCTTTGCGAGCGGCGAGCCCGTGCTCTGGGACGACGTGTTCCCAGAGGTGGTGCACCTGGAGGACGAGGAGGCCCAGATAGAGGCCTCCCAAACAGAGGGCCCTGGTCTGGAGGGTCCCCAAGTGGAGGACGAGGAGGCCCAAGCAGAGGGCCCTGGAGCGGGCAAGATGTGAGGCGTCCCAGCGAGAGGGCCCTGGTCTCGAGGGTCGACGGTGACTTGCCACGTCTTCCTCGGCTGAGGGCGGCGGAAGGCAAGCGGCGGCGGCTCGGCCGGCGGAAGGCAAGCGCAGGCCAGCGGAGGTGAGCCTCGCCGCCTCAAGAGTGGATCACACTTTTGTGTCCAGGGTCTCCGGAACCTGCCATTCGAATCCATGTCCCCTCGTCTTGGAGTTTCGGGCTCCTTTTCCCAGACACCAGAGGCGCAGGACATGTGGCCGCCATGTTGCCCCCCAGAGGGCCAGATTTTTAGCCATATCCGCCGCGCATCGGCACGTTGGCGCTCAGTGCCCGAAAGGGAAAGGGACGCAGTGGCTGTAGGCAAAAACCGTGCCCGCAGAGGCGCACGACAACCGCCTCGCCGAGGAGTTCTCCGCGGGGGCCCCAGGAGACCACCCCGACGGGGCCGCGGAGGCCCCCGCCGCGGTGCCCGCGGGGGCCGCCGCCGCCCCGGCCACGGCGGGCTGGCTGGAGCTGCGGCCAGGCGAGCGGGTGCGGCTGCCGGTCCATTTCCGGCGCCTGCACCGGCAGCCGGAGGAGGAAACGGTACCGATGCACGCTGGTCGTTGAGAGTAGGTATGTTTGGCTTCCCAGATACCAACATACATATACACACACACACCTATACGACCACCCTTCGGGTGATAAGGAGGTTCGGGGGGGGAGGAACCAACGTCTCACTCGATCGGTCTCATTCTCGATCTCACTATCGATCTCAGTATCGGTCTCGCTCGATCGATCTCACTCGATCGATCTCACAGTCGATCTCACTCGATCTATTTCATTCGATCGATCTCACAATCGATCTGTCTATCGATCTCACAATCGATCTCACTGTCGATCTCATTATCGATCTCATAATCGATCTCACATTCGGTCTAACTATCGATCTCAATGTCGATATCACAAGCGATGTCACAATTAACGTCATCATCATCATCATGCTCATCATCATCAGCATCGTCAACAACGTCATCAACATCGTCATCATCATCAGCATCACCGGGACACCATCATCATTATCATCATCTTCATCACCTCATCACCATCATCATCAACATCATGATCATCGCCATCATCATGATGATCATCATCATCATCGGGACACCATCATCGTCACCATCATCATCATCATCATCATCATCATCATCATCATCAACGTCATCACAATCGGGGCACCAACATCCTCATCATCATCATCGGAACACCACCATCATCATCATCATCATCAGCATCATGATTTCATCATCATGGCCATCATCATCATCAACATCATCATCATCGGGACACCATCATCAACATCATCATCATCAGCGACATCATCATCATCATCATCAACATCCTTTCATTATCATCGGAACACCATCATCCTCACCGACACCATCATTAGCATCACCATCATCATCATCATCATCATCAACAGCATCGGGACACTATCATCAACATCATTAACATCAGCATCATCATCACCATCATGGGGCCACCATCATTCAAGTTCTCATTATCATCCTCATCCTCAATATCATCATCATCATCATCATCATCATCATCATCATCATCATCATCGGGACACCATCTTCGTCATCATCATCATCATCATCATCATCAGTATCACCTTCATCATCGCGACACCATCATCATCACCATCATCATCAACATCATCATCAACCTCTAAATTTTCATCATCATCCACGCTACACCATGATCATCATCATCTGAACACCATCATTATCTTATCATATGCCCATCGTCAACATCATCAGGATCATCAACATCATCATCATCATCATCATCATCATCATCATCGGGACACCGTCATCATCATCAGCAACATCATCATCATCAACATCATCATCATCGGGGCATCATCATCATCACCATCATCCTCATCATCATCATCATCAGCATCGTCAACATCATCATCATCATCGTCATCGGGACACCATCATCACCACCACCACCATCATCATCATCATCATCATCGTCAACATCATCATCAACGTCATCATCATTATCATCCTCATCATCATCACCATCACCACCATCATCATCATTATCATCATCATCATCATCATCATCATCATCATCATCATCATCGGGACACCGACGGGACACCGGCGGGACACCGCGCGCCACCAGCACCCGAGCGGGACACTGGCGGGACACCGCGGGGCACCGGTTGCCAGAACGGAGACTTTTGGTCCGGCCGCGCCTGAGCTACAGGAGTCTCACTTATCGCCCGCCCACGCAGCTTCGCCTCGCCCGCACACACGGCACGCACGAACACGAAACCGAAACCGATTTCCCGGTAGGGGGGCTCTCCGTTCCACTTCGATCTCCCCCCCTCACCTCTGATCAAGCGCTTTCTGGCTTCAAGGATCGACACGTTCTTATTGTGTGTTGTGTTTCTCTGGGATGGCCTGAACCCATTCTACTTTGTCCGCCTTCCTACTTCATGCTCTTACCTTCTTCTTCCGACCGACGCGTGCTGCTACCCTGCGCCCGTTTTCGCTTGCTTCGGCCTCCTTGGAGGCCCTCGTCGCCACAGGCTGGGTCTCGTCATTCTCATGATGGCCCCGTCAGGTAACCCCGAGTCCCCCGAGCCCGAGTCTTACGTCTCCCCGATGTTGGTTTCCCCAGGCAGACTGAGGAGAGAATGCAGCGCGCCAACGCCGGGTTCATCCAGGCGCGGGACGCCTCGCGCGCCGCCGGCGGGGATGCCGCACCGCCGTCCGCGGGGGTCGGGTTCGAGGCGGCGCGAGAGATCTTCCGGCTCGCGGGCCACTTTCACAACAGGGCCCTGCAGTACTTCCTGCTCGACGGCTGGGTCACGGAGCACGTGCGGATACTGCAAGAGGTCTCTGCGACGTACAAGACGATGTATTTCTGGGAAGCGGACCCGAAGCGGACCGCCGCCATGATGAAGCGCCGCGTGCAAATGCTCACCCCGCTCGTCGAGGCACTCAACCCGAAGGTCTACCCGGCCTTCTGCAGGCAGCTCTGCTTCGAGGCCGCGGAGGTGTACCAGGAGCTGTACGAGCTGAAGGCCAACTCGAAGAAGAAACAACGCCATAGACATGCACTCTTGGCCCCTGTGCGCGGATTTCTTGGATCCGCGCTGGGCACCCCCGGCGGCGCCTCTGGCGCCGCCCCTGGCGCGCTCCGCGCGCCAGCGAGGGAAATCCGGCGCAGATCCAAGAAATCCGCGCGGAGCGCCCAGAGTATATGTTTATGACGTTTTTTTTTCTCGCGCCCAGAGTATATGTTTATGACGCTTTTGTTTCCGGGGCCCGCCTCGGCGACCGCGGCGACGAGCCACTGGGCGGCGACGTCAGGCGGGCCGCGCGCTGCAACGAGCTGGCGCGGAAGTCGCTGCAGTACTACGGCACGTTCGTCGACAGCTTCCACCTCGACGGGAAGGTTCCAGACCGCATCGAGAAAGACTCTTGCCGGGCGTACCTCACTGCGAGGCTTAACCGCGCGAGGTTGCGGACCAAGATGCACGGCCTCGGCCGCGACGAGAGCGTGAGAGAGCACAGGGAGGCGCTGCGAGAGTACGAGTGGATCCTGGACTACGGCGCCCGGCACGCGGAGGTGACGAGCCCAGACATCGGAATGGCGCAGGAGCTGCAGCTGTGCCGGGAGATGGCCGAGATGATGCCCTCCAAGTTGGACCGCATGGCGGCCGGGCGGCCCATCTGAGCCCTCGGCGGGGCGCCCGTCCTTTGCTCGGAGGCTTTCGTGGCATCAGCAACTGCCTGCACTGGGCTTGTGCTGGCAGCTCGCTGTAGCCCCCAGACCCATGTCGAGCCGAGGAAACACACGTCATATAACAGCTTCTCTCGCGCGAGCGTGGCACCCTCTGAGAGCTGCGTAGCCCCCTCCCTGCTTGCAATTGGAAGACCCCCCCCTCGGAGCAGCAGATGGCCTTCCTGCCTAGCGCTTGGAGACGATCGCCACGGGACTGCTCTGAATCCCATGCCGCCCCCGCCTGGCCCTCCGCCGATGAATCCCATGCCCCAGCCCCTTCCTGAGCGACAGCCGGCTCGTCAGCTTCCAGTGGGCTGCCAGGGTCGCGCTGGATGGGTCCCAGGCTGCGCGGTCGGCAGGCAAGCGCTGGATGCGTCCACCTCCTCGTCCACCCCTCTTCGGCGCGGGAGGTGCTGCAGTTCCTGCGGCCGCCCGACGCGGTGATGCTGCATCTGGCCTCGCCGGCCCTGCGCCGCTTCTGCCGCTCGCCCCAGTCGCGGAAGGCGCGCCGCCCCACGCCCAGGTTAGGTCGGGCATGTCTTCCTGCAGGGGGATTTTGGACGACAGATTAAAAACACCCCACACGTAGTTCAAAAGGCCGCCCCACGCCCAGGTTAGGTCGGGCATGTCTTCCCGCAGGGGGATTTTGGACGACAAATAAGAGTCAAACGAAGTGTTAAACAAGTCGTCCCCATGTTTTTTGACAATTGTTGAGTGTTCCTCCTGTAGAGGGACACGCCCGACTTAACGCCAAGCGGCCCCAGCCGAGGAGTGACGAGGCCTCATTTGCCGGGGCCGGGGCGAGGGGGGGTCGGCCACGCGAGACGAGGGGGAAGGGGGCGGGGGGAAGGCTTCTCAGCAGCACCCCTGCTTCTCCGACGGCGCGAGCCATGTCCCTGGATGCAAGGCCCGCGCAGAAGCAAGGTGCTCATATGCCGGGGCCGGGTCGAGGATAGGGGAACGAACAATGACATAAACAGAAAAACTCGGAGGTCCACGCGGATTCCTCGGATCGGCGCTGGGGCCCCCTGGTGGCGCTTCGCTAGAGGAGGGGGGGGGAAGACGCCAAATTTGCTTACAATCCATCTGGTGCAATTTGTCAGCCCAGGGTCATTTTTGACGGTCCCGGGGCCCGAAAACAGTCCCCGGAGTCCGAAACATGCAAAAATCATCTCCAGGGCCCCTGATCACCCCGACGAAACGTCCCTGGCCGAGACGCCGGCCCCAGCCGAGGCCTCCTGTCAGGGGCAACGTTTGTCACCGAGCGCGGTCCACTACTCGCAAAGTGCCTACTCGCAAACATCCGGAAGATAAAGCGTTGGCTTCCTCTATGTAGCGGATCGTTAAGTCCACCGCGGCGGATCCAGGCCATTTGCGAGTAGTTACTTCGCGAGTAGTGGAACGCGCTGGTCCAGTTTGGGTGGTTTGCGGTCGGGAATTTCTGAATCACCCGTCGCACCGCCGGTTCTGGCCCTCCGCGCTCGGGCGCGACACGCTAGCCACATCCCAGCACCCGAGCGTCAACGTCCCAAGCGTCCGAGCGGCAACGTCCCGAGCCCTTCCCAGCATCCCGGCCTGCGGAGCGGCATGCGATCCGCCTGCAGGGTGATCGCGTGTCGCCAGGGCCGCCGCGCCGAGACCCAGGACGCTAAGCAGACGTTCCCGACCGCAGGTTCAGGGGGGGCCAGGCTCAAGGGAGGGGGGATACATCGACCCCCAATCGCCAACTGATCGACGACAGAGGCCCGATAGCCCACCCCGCCCAGGAATATGAGGTTCTCTTATCGGGGCCAATCGGCGATGTATCGGCGATGTATCGCCGATTCCAGGTCGATGGCCCATGAGCCGTATCCCGCCCCCCCCATCATTCTACCCCATCTTGTCGTGCAGCTCAAAGGTCGGAGGAAGGCCCGCCTAGACAGCAGCCCCCCCGGTGGTTTTCGTTTTGTCTGGGCCTCCCAGGGGCGTCTCGTCACCACGGCGGGATCCGCCTCAGAGATCGTGCCACGATGGAGCCTGGGGGTTCGGGGAGAGACCTTGAGCGGATTCGGGTCAGGCGCTTGGCATCGCGACGGCAAGGGCGGGAGAGCCACCGTTGTCCCAATTGGCCCTCCTCCGGGGAAGGGGGGTCACGGGTCACCGCCGGGGGGTCACCACAAGGAGGTCAGTTGGCGAAGCCCGCTCTGGACCCAGAGGATGCCAAGGCGGAGGAGGAGGAGGAGGAGGAGGAGGAGGAGGAGGTGGATGATAGTGAAGAACGATCGCAGAGGAGGACGAGGAAGAGAGTACTAAGAGAAGTGCAGCCATTGGCGCTAGCTGAATGCGCCCGCGGACGCGCGGTACGAGGTGTCGCGGATCAGGGCTGTCCGCAAGGGACGTGTGTCGTAGTATGTAGTAGGTGGAGAAGCAAGGAAGGGGAAGGAGGAGGAGGAGGAAGACGAGGATGAGGAGAGGAAACGGGTGAGGATGGGTGCATGGAGGATAAGGAGGAGGTTGTATTGGAGGAGGGTGGAGAATGAGCTAGGGTTGGGGTGTAACTTCCCTGGGTATGGCCACCGGTATTGAAGCCCCCGAGTCGTTATCCATGGGACGCACGCAACGAGGCCGTCGAAGTTGCTGGGGTTGAGAGAGGAAAGGGGAGGAGACGGACATGAGGTAGAAGAATGAGGGAATCAACAGAGAGAGGGACGACGGAAGAGGAGGTGGAGGCAAGTTAGGTGCGCGAGCGCCATATCTGATGTCCTGCACTCTCCCATCCCCTACCATTTCGCTGATTGATTATCTCGTCCCGCACAAGTGTCATAGCGGCGGACCTGGAACTCCCAGACAGACTCCATTGCGATATACGAGGGCGAACAGCAGAAGCAGGAGCTGAAAGGGAAGGAGCGGGAGGAGCAAGAGGACCAGGGGAAGGCCGAGGAGGGGAAATGAGGGGGAAATGAGGGGGGCGACAGCGATGAAACATGACTCGGACCTAGAAGAGTGACCCGCGCTGGGCCGAGAGGACCATCCTCAACTTCGGGAGCAAGGCGCCGAAACACAGCGGAAGCACAGTTCAAAAACTCTGGAAACCGTCGGCTTGTAAGTAAAAAGCAGCGAGGGGACAGACATTGGTTTGGGAGTCTTGTGTTTTGTTAGGCACGCGTTGGCGGCAGGATGCATTCCGCACGTAGTCAGGGGAGAGAGAAGAGTAGCATTCATATTGTCCATTAGTGGAGAGGGGGAGAGGGATGAGGAGTGGAAGACGACACTGAGGAGGAAGAGGAGGGACAGGAGGCAGACAATAAGGCAGAGGAGGAGAAGGATGCCTCCGCGCTCTTCAGAAACCAACGGCCGCGAGCGACAACGATAGGAGTAGGTAGGGATGGGCGAGAGGGGGAGACGTGCGCTGGCGCACAGCAGGAAATCGATATCACTCCCACGCGAGGTTGAGCCTACCATTCACGGGACTTGCGGTCGCACTCTTAGCTTCAGGCCACATTCTTTTTTGTGCGGCGGATGGTTCCAAGGATGCGTTTCCATGCAGGGCAGTGTTCAGAAATTGCTGACGGCTAGTAGCCGGATCCGCTCGGGTCGGGGCGGTGTCTTAGGAGTGTTCACGCCAGAATGAGCCAGTTTCCATGATATCGTTCATTTCGGAAGGGCTTTGTAGTTGGCCGCTGATGTTCCGCCAGAGGCCGTCTGTTGTCCAGCCACGGTTTCCTACAATACTCTTCCAGCAGCGCCTCGCCCATGGATCGTTTCAACGGCTTTCTTAGCAGAGGCGGGTGGCTGTCGACGATTGGGGACGGGATGCTTTGGCAGGGATCTTCCAGCGAGACGTTGTGTGTCCGTGCGGCCCGGGGAGATTGATCGTGGGGTCTACTAGACAATGGTGTACTATTCGCTACCTTGACAACCGCAGTTGTTGATGCCGGTGTTTTGCCTCAACAAGAAGTGGGTCCCCTTCATAGAGTTGTCCTCGGTCGAGGTGGCGACCCACCAGCATCTGCTCACGTGGACGATGCATTGCACTGCTTAGTGGGAGCGTTTGCTCATGCTTCTCTTTGCTGGGGGTGGTGGTGGTGTTGAAGCATGCTGGGGTCCACGGCTGCATTGTGAGTTTGCACGCAAGATGGCTATATCCGCGCATGCTTTTCGTGGGGTCATCTGGCTGTCCCGAAGCAAAGAAGTCGCCAAGAAGATCAGGTGAGGGAGTGGCAGCGGGGGGTCGGAGAGGGGATGCGATGGGCGAGAGGGCTAGCAGCGGAGGGGGAGGCGACGACGATGTGGCAATTGTTTGTCTCGAGCTAGTTCGACTGAGCGTCTGTCAGCGAGTGCTGTTCAGCTCTTGACCCCTGCTGCACTGTCCTGTTTCTGCTCTGTAGCGCCTGCTCTTGGCTGGATGGGCGATTGCTCGCGGGCCGTCTTTCTGTGTTTCTCCACCGCCAGCTCCGTCGGTCTGGGTACTCCGGATTTCGTAATAAAAGGAGGGGGGTCTCATTTCGGGGGGGTCTCTTCCAGGCTATCTTGGAGGGCCTGGGGGGTCTGGGGACGATGTTTTGGAGGGTTCTCCCAGGGGGGGGGGGTCTAAAACTTCTCGTCTGGGAGGGTTGAGACCCCCTCCCATTTATTACGAAATCTGGAGTAAAAAGCGAGTCCTGGTCTCGGTGCATCCGCGTGCGCCGACCGACGGCTGATTGCCGCCGACGTGCGCCAGCCAGTTACATTCCATCGGGGGCCTTGCAGTGTTCCGCACTGTTCTGCACGGAAAGCGAGCGCACTGACACTCGTTCCGAGGCCTGTGCGGGGGTCGTCCTTGCCTTTTCGTGCTCTACGCGCGCCCGGTGCATGTCTCGATGGTGTTGCTGGTGGAGGCCAAGACGACCTTGACGATGTATACCACCGAGCTGTGGGCTCCTCCTCCTCCTCCTCCTCCTCCTCCTCGCTCCTCCTCCTCCTCCTCCTCCTCC